AGCTCCTCCACTGTGTGGCAACACCCTAATTATAGGAAATGATAAGGGCCATTTAATACATGCAAATTGTCCATAGCACAGGGGAATTAGAGGGTAGAATGAACTGTAACATTTTGCTGTAAAAGATGGGCCAGCAGCAGAGAGATTTATCATTCTGTCCTATTTCAGGATTTGCATGTGTAGGCCTACCTCACTCCATTACCTATGGACAAATGCAAAAAGAAAAAAATCTATTTCTTCAATGATCTGACAGTGAGGAAAACAATGAAAGCCTGAGATTTAATTGTGTGGGGAATGTGAGCAGTTGAATGCCTATGTACCAGTACTATCTATATATATAAAAGCCTAACCAACCATCCAACCATTCAACCATCCAACCAGTAGCTATGACATCCACTGACCACCAAGGGGCAGACACTCAACACAGGAGCTGCTGAGCTGCAGCGACTTGGCAGCTGTGGTTCTCAGGTGACACACCCGGAACCAGAGAGGAGAGAACCCGAGGGGGGTGGGGGGGTGTCACCCTGTCGCAATCTGGGGCCCCTCGGGGGATGTTGGAGAGCTAGTTTCAGCCCAATCCCTGCAGGCCAGGCTGAGGGACCCCACCTGTGCATGAATCCATGCACTGGGCCTCTAGTTTAAATAAAACATTGCAGACATATCTGAAGCCCCTTTCCAGCATACCAGGTACGAATGTATTTAGTTGAGATTTGCATTTCTTTGAACACTAGTGAAGTTAAACATTACTTATATGCCATTGGTTTTTAAATTTTCTTGTTTGTGAATTTCTTACCTATAGCTTGCCAATTAAAAATGGTTTGGCCTTTTAATGATTAATAAATTCTGGCTACTAACCCTGTACCAGTTATATGCATTGCCAATGCCATCTCCCTGTCTGTGCCTCATCCTTCCTTTTATTCCTGGTGTCTTCCTTTGTACTCAAGCTTTTCATATGGACCTAGTCAAGTATCTTACATCCCCCCCCCCACCCCTTTACAGTGATGGCTTGCTGAAGAAATCTCCCTGCATCCTGAAGTCATAAAAACTCTTATATTTTTGTCTAAGCATTTTATTGTTTGGTGAATGACATTTGGGTTTAGAATTGGTCTTTGTGTAAGCCATAGGGAGGAATCTCATGTTCTTTTCCTATCTCATGTAGATAGATAGTTGCGCCCTCCCCCTGGGGCAGGGGAGCAGGAGAAACCCAAGCTCTCTTATCTGAGGAGACTGGTTCATTGGAAATCTCTCCTCTTGACTCCCAGCTGAGTCAACCACACTCCTCCATCCCCTCTTGGTTCCTGGAAGCACCTATCAGAAAAAGCTATAATGCCCCCTACCCTCCCAGCACCTTTAACATTCCTGCAGCTGTAGCCATGATTACTTTGTATTGTCATTTTTTTTCATCTATTTACTGTGTACATGTGTGTGAACACGCACACACTGCAATGAATTCTTATGGGACCAGAGACCTAGAAGCATTGTGGTTAAAACTTCAGGATCTACCATTGACTAGCTGGGTGACTTTGGGAAGTTACCTAATCTTTCTGTGTCTCAACTTCTCCATCTGTAAAATGGGGGAAGTAGTGGTCTAAGAGGGATGTTTAAGCCGCTAAACCCATGAGGAGGGATGCAGCCCATAAGAAGCACTCCATAAATGTTGGCTTACCAGAGTGATTCTCTGTATCCCCGACCCTGAGCAGTGTCTGGCAGTTGGCAGGCACCCATGAGAACTTGTCCAGTGAATATAATTACAGGAGCTCTAGTTTAGAATTGATCTTTGTGTAAGCTATAGGGAGGAATCTCTAGATTCCTTTGGGTTTTGTTTGTTTGTGAGGAACATGACCCCTGGATGGCTACTGAGGCTGCGGCCAGAGCAATGCCAGCAAGAAGCCCGTGTCGGGGAGACAGCGGTGAAGGGGGGCTTCCTCATGGGTTTGTAGACTGCAATACAGACCCAGACAGAGCGCTACCAGGAACCCGGAACTATGAAGGAGCAGAGGTCAATGAGGTGTAATTAATGCCAATGACCTTGTCAAAGACCAGTCAGGTGTGAGGTCGGGTACAGCAATGACCCTGCCTCCCGCAGTCAGACCTGGCTGCAGGAAGAGGACTTGGTGGGAAGGGCAGTGCTGAGCACCGAGGAGCCAAGGAGATGCTCAGAGTATTTGCGCCAGCCATGCTCCCCGCCTCCCTCTCCCCTGTGCCTGGCCCTTCAGGTCTGCGTGATCACACTCCCCTGGAGCCTCAGACTGGGGACAGACCGTGTCCTCCAGGCCGGGAACCTGGGAGAAGGTGATGTCACAAGCAACAGTCATCCAAGAACAAACCTCATCCTCCCACACCAGCCTGCGGACCTCAAGCCCCCACCCTTCTCTCCCTTTCTGGTCCTCAGGTTCCATCCTGTGGGCAAGGCTGAGGTCCCATCATGACTGAAGGTGAGCACGGTACTGATGGAAAAGTCCCAAACCAGCCGCCTGAGCAGGAGGCAGCGAGCTCCCAGTCCTGGGAGAGACGGGAGCAGAGACCGCCTGACACTGGAATCGCACAGAGGGGTCTGGGGTCCCCGTTGGCCGTTGGATTCAATGACCTTTAATGTCACTCTTGAGAAGTGATGAATCTGTGATTCCAAGTCATCCTCCCCTTAATGCGGCAGGACACGGCCTTTCTGCCCACAGGCCCTGAAGTTGCGGGGCTCAGGGCTCCCCTTCAGGGCCTGTCTCCAGAGGGCCCTGTGGGCGTGGACTTTGGGAAAGCAGGCACCTCGCTAACCCTCTGTCTGCCTAAGATGCAGTGGGCAGAGGGGCCGCAGTTTCTGGGGAAGGCAGAGGAGCCCTGGGCAGTTCTGATAAAGTGGGCCACAATAGGAAGGGATGCTCCCCTACCACGCCCTGCCTGGCAAGGGCAAGGCTGAGTGTCCTGGCAGGGCCGTCGGTGAGGATGGATTAGAATTAGGAGGCCAAGAAGGAGGAGAGGAGCTGGGGTGGCAGATAGAACTTTCCAGCCGGGCCTGGAGGCCCTGAGAGGACAGTTAAGGGAGGGGCTCTCATGGGGACAGTCACCAGCAGAGGAACTTTCCTAACCGTTAGGATTTCACAGCCTGGTCAGGAAGGAAGTGAGACCAGAGAGGGGGTGAAGATTGGGTTACTCAGAAGCACTGAGTCCCAGGCCCTCTCCACTCAGAGGGGAGTAGGCAGGTATCCAGAAACCCCTTGGTCCCCACCTGCCCCACAGCCCTCAGACTCAGAGCTTCTCTCCTCTAGGTGATAAGGCTTTTCTTCCTTTGCTCCCCCTTCATCTCCTCTGCAGGAAGGGATGGCCCTTGATGGTTTGGGGCCTTCTCGGCCACAAGAAGTCACCCGTCCCTGGGAGAGCAGCCCTGTGCCTCACACAGGTGCTCACTGCGAAGTGACTTCTGCCTGCTGATCCTGGGCTCCTCCTGGGCAGCCGGCTGGGGCGCAGGGCTCAGTTTTTAGCGATGCTGGCATATTCCACAGCCAGAAATGGGTCAGATGTGGGCCTCAGGCCGGGGCGGGTGTTGATGTAGATGGGGTCCTCGAGGCCGAAGGGGTCCAGGTTGGTAAATGAGGCGTAGTGGATGTCCCCAGTGTCCTTGCCAGAGCCTAGCTGCTGGTCGGAGCCCTGGGAATCAAAGACAGACAGATGTCCACTGTATGGATCACGGCTGGGAGTGGTCAGGGGCCCCCGGGTGACCAGAGCTGTGCCGAGGATAGGGACAGGGAAAAGGTATGGGACAGGGTGTGGGTCCTGCAGGAACTCTGGGGATGGCAGAAGGCAGCAAGGGCACCTTCACTGAACATGATTAGAATAAGGAAGGTGAAGAACCAAGATGCCGGTGTAGGTACACATGGTACTCACAGCCTCCCACAACCACATCACAATTATAACTAAAAGACAGAGCAACCATCGTTCAGAAACCCAGAAAGCTGGGTGTTGGAAGTCCTACAATTAGAGAAGTAAAGAAGAAAGTACATTGAGACTGGTAGGAGGGGCGGAGGGGTGGAACAGGCTGGTTCCACAGACATGTGTAGCGTGTTTTTAATCGGGAGGGATATCTTGGCTGTGGAGGCCACTTGTGAGAAGCCTCACACCAGACCCTTCAGCTCAGGTTTCCAGTGCCGGGAGGGGAAATCTCCTTAACTTCGAGCTATAAAAACCAGTGGTGATTGTGGCTGAGTGACCGAAGGCTGCTGGAGTCCCTCTTAAAGGGCCAGTGCATGAACTTACTTGGACTTGCTCCCTCTGCACTCCAGTGCTCGGGTAATCGCTTAGGGCAGTGGTCGGCAAACTCATCAGTCAACAGAGCCAAATATCAACAGTACAACGATTGAAATGTCTTTTGAGAGCCAAATTTTTCAAACTTAAACTATATAGGAAGGCACATTGTTATTAACTTAATTAGGGTACTCCTAAGCTGGCCTTTGCTAAAAATGTCCTCAATCTGATTGAGGTACGTTCGCTGAGGTCGACCCCTTCCAACTCTCCCATCCACACACGTCTTGTATACTTGTTTCGACTATCTCCTTTCATTCATCCTCTCTATATGTCCAAACCATCTCAACATACCTTTCTCAATCCTCGACACTACATCTTCTTTCACTCCACAATGTTCCCTAAAATTAACTTAATAAACTTTACTTAAAGTTTTAAGTCTTAGTTAAACTGTAGTACGTTGAATAAAACTTGATATCATACTTAATAACGATGTTATTTATTGATAAAATAAAATTCTTTACAATTTACCTTACAATATCCATAAAATTAAATCATGACAATGACTGACAAACACTAATGTGAACAATGGCCTTGCATCTCCTTGGAAAGCTTGGGTAAGTCAGGTTTGTATGTTGTTGTTTTTAATTTTAGGCACAACTTCTGCGCATAGGCCACAAAGTTTCAATCGCACTGTACATGCATGCCTGCACGTGGTATTTTGTGGAAGAGCCACACTCAAGGGGCCAAAGAGCCGTGTGTGGCTCGCGAGCCACAGTTTACCGACCACTGGCTTAAGGGGATCGAGGGACATACAGAGAGGAACTGGATTGTCTGGCATGGGAGCAAGAACTTGTGGGAGGCTTTCTCCAAGATAGGAATGCTCATAAGGTTCATTGTTCCTATGCTGAGACCTCCACGGTCACAGAGCTGACTAGCAACCACACCTGAGTCTCCATCAACCTGGTTCACACCGTTTGCTCCACCCTGGTGATTCCCTGAGACCCTGCCTCATCCAATTTGCCACCCTACTCAAGCTGTTTGCAGCTTCTTTCCATATGATTGACCTGTCCTGGCTCAGGCTTTCCTAAAATCTCTCAAACAATCAGAGCTGGTGTCAGCATGCCTCATATTTATCAATAAGAGGCCCAAGACCAGGCACTAGCAGCAGCCTGTCTTGCTTCACAGCTTGGCCTCTCCTGGCTACTTCCAAGCTCAACACAAGTAGCAGCTATGTGCAGATCACTCTGTAGTTCCTGGGGGCAGTGGGGTGTGGGGGGTGGGGAAGGCAAGCAGTGGCTGACTTTGCACCTCCTGAGGCCCCAGAGCCAGTGTACCCAGTGGACATTTTCAGACCACAACAGATTACAACTCTACACACCCACGAGTGACACATTAAGGGGCAAACTCAGTGAACACCAAAGCCCCACTGAAGCAAGTCCTGCTCCATAGGGGTATCTCCTGCACAGCAGCGCTTCTGCTGTAGTCACAGTGGGTCTTTGCAGCCATTTGGCCTGGAAGTCAATTCATCTCAGCAATGCCAAGAGCAATCAAGGCTCAACTATAACAAGACTATGCACACAGCCTACACAGGGGTGCACCTAGAGTGCATAGCTCAGATGACTGGGGAGGCTGAGCCACTGGGCCCTACAGGACACCTACTACACAAGGCCACTCTACCAATTCCAGGAGACATAGTAGCTCCACCTAATACACAGGACAAATACAGAGAGGCTGCCAAAATGCAGAAACAAAGAAACATGTCACAAATAAAAGAACAAAAGAAATCTCCAGAAACAAACAAACAAACAAACACTAAATGAAATGGAATCAAACAAACTACTAGATACAGAGTTCAAAACAATGGTTATAAAGATGCTCAAGGATCTTAATGAGAATTTCAAGAACCTTAGTGAGAACATAAAAAAACATGAAAAAGTACCAGTCAGAAATTAAGCCTACACTAACTGAAATAAATAATAATTTTCAGGGATTCAACAATACAGTAGAGGACACTGAGAATCAAATCAGTTACTTGGAATATCAGGAAGCAAAACAATACCCAGTCAGACGAGCTAAAAGAAAAAAGAACCCAAAAATATGAAGATAGTGTAAGGAGCCTTTGAGACAACTTCAGCATACCAATGTGCTCATTATGGTGAGTGCCAGAAGGAGAAGAGAGAGAGCAAGATATTGAAAAACTGTCTGAAGAAATAATGACAAAAAACTTCCCCTACCTGGTGAAATAAATAGTCTTGCAAGTCCAGGAAGTACTGAGAGTCCCAAACAAGAGGAACCCAAAAGAGGCCCACACCAAGATACGTCATAATTAAAATGTAAAGATTAAAGACAAAGAGAGAATTCTAAAAGCAGATAGTTACCTACAAGGGAGTGCCCATATGACTGTCAGCTTATTTCTCAACAGAAACTTTGCAGACAAGAAAAATTCAAAGTGATGAATAGTAAGGACTTACAACCAAGATTACTCTACCCAGCAAAGCTGTCATTTAGAATTGAGGGTCAGATAAAGAGCTTCACAGACAAGAAAAAGCTAAAGGAGTTCATCACCAACAAACCAGTATTACATGAAATGTGGATGGGTATTCTTTAAGAAGAGGAGGAGGAGGAGGCAGAAGAAGAAATATGAACAAAAAATGGTAATAACTACATATCTGTCAACAACTGAATCTAAAAAGCAAAACAAACAAGTAACCTAATGAACAAAATAAACCGGAGGAATAAGATAGAACCAGAGCCATGAAACATGGAATAATCTGACAAATCTCAGAGGGAAGGGGGGTGGTGGGAAGAGATTAACCAAAAAATTTACATGCAGATATGATTTACCTATGGACACAGACAGTAGGGTGGTGAAGGCCTGGGGCAGGGTGGGAACAGGTGGAGGGGGGCAATGGGTGGAAAAAGGGGGACATCTGTAATATTCGCAACAATAAAGATGGGAAAGGAAAGAAAGAAAAGAAAAAGGAAGGCTACACAGAGTGCAGTCCAGTCAGAGGACCAGCAGCGCCATCTCAGTCTCCACCCAGATCTATTAGCCCAAAGTCTCTGGGGGTGGGACCCAGAGTGGCTGAGCCACTGGCCGTCATGACCCAGCAGATAAGTTGGCATTAAAAGCTGTCTCCCACAGAGGGAAGCTTGGTCAGTCAGCTTCTCCCTCCCTCTCTGAGGAGTTTCAGTTGGGAAATTTGGGGAAAGAACATGCATAGACAAGGCATTAGGGGCATGACCAGTCACAAGTGAGTCTAGAAACTGTAAGTAAACAGAAGCCAGGAAGTTGGAAGAAGAAGAAAAAAAAAGGAGAAGGAGGAGGAGGAAGAGGAGGAGGAGGAGGAGGGGAAGGAGAAGTAGAAAAAGGAGAAGGAGTGGCAGCAGCTCAGCCGGTGTGGCTCAGTGGTTGAACATCAACCCATGAACAAAGAAGTCCCCAGTTCTATTCCTGGTCAGGGCACATGCCTGGGTTGTGGGCTCGATCCCTAGTAGAGGGAGTGCAGGAGGCAGCCAATAGATGTTTTTCTCTCATCGATGTTTCTATCTCTCTATTCTTCTCCCTTCTTCTCTCTCTAAGATCAATAAACATTTTAAAAGAACAATAATGAAAACAAAGATACCCAGGAAAGCTGAGAGTCCCTGTGACGTGCAGGGTGGTCCGTCCGATGCGCAGTCTCATCCTCATGGGTGGAAATGCCATGGATGTGATGGGCTTTGCCCTCACCTGTGAAAAAACAGGTTTAAAGGAGAGACCTCTCTCTACCTCTCTCCTGGCAATTCGGGTGACGCTGGCTGGAGGACCTGGCTGGGTAGAAGGGACCCTGCCTGATGGGGGAGAGGCTGGACTTGGCTGGGAAGTGGCATCCTGCGGGAGGTCCCGGGCGGCCAGCACAGATCAGTGCCAGAAAGCAGATGTTAGTGCTAAACTAGGGAGCAAGTCTGATTGGCTGTCTGCATATAATTTGCATCAAACCAGTAAACTTGATCAATTCTAGGTCCACAGACACATCACTGGGTATGTGGTTACTAAACACAGTGCGAATGTGCTGAACAAACCAACAAAAAACAAGGTAGGAATCATTAAAAGGCACGGGGACAATCTTCTTGCACAAAATGCCGTAGATTTTACACGTGCTCAATGCTGAAACTTAGAACTTGGAGACTAAAAAGCTAAAGGAAGGCAATGTTTAAATGTGATAGCAATGATGAAAAATGCAATGCCACAAACCAGAACGGCCTTAGATCAATTTGTTTTAAAATCCTGAACTACGAAATGATGATAAAATATCTGGTCTCAAATGGACACTAGAATACCCAGCGGTAGGCAAGTTGGCGCTGGCCTCTCAGCTTGTTTCCTCGTTGGTAACGGGACATGAGCCTGTCTGCCGGCTCGCGGGCACCTCCCATGGGCGAGGTTTACCTGCCCTGGCTCGTCGCCGTTGCCAGAAGTACAGGATCACCAGGAGGGCCAGCGCCAGCAGCAGCAGGAGCACCACCATCACACTGAGGATGATATTGCTGTGGCCTGGGGGGCTTGGGAACAAGGACCAGCCAGGTGAGGCGAGAAGGCGCCAGGCTTCTGTGGGGAACTCATCCCTCCCCAAGCCGGTGGTCTGGACGCTCCTGCTGAGCTGGCCAGGAGACAGCCCCACAGCCAAGCTCTCTGCCTATCCGGCCTCTGGGCGTGTAGTCTTCCCCCTCTGTAAGTAGGAATGCTGACCATGTCTCCAGGTTTGCTCTGACTGCGTGTTGTCCCCTATCTGGCCTTCGGGGCCCCTGTTTTGGGATCTGTGCTCACAGCTCTGGCATCCTTCCCTCAACTGCTCTTGGTCCCAGGCCCTCACCCCCCACCCTTGGCTGAGAGATGCAGTCAGCTCTCGGAGAGACAAAGAGCTCTGTACATAATAAATGCATTCTCATAGGCCCTGTCTTCAGTCAGAGGAAGAAAAGGTAGACTTTCTCACAACACAGCAGGCTCCTAGTGAAGGTGCCTGGTGTGTCAGGTGTCGTGGGTCGAGGCAGCAGCTCTGGGGACACCGACTACTCAGCTACACTGACCAGCACCCTTAGTTTCTGGTGCAATGCCTTGGAGAAGAAACGAGTTTGCAGGGGCTCAGGATTTGCATGACAGAGGGTGGAGAGAGGGTGGGCGGACAGAGGTGGGAAGAAAACCAGCCCTCAGGCCAGTCGCAGTGGCGGCAGGGGGGAGGAGGGGGGGGGGCGCTTGGGAACCATGCGACAGAGGTAGAGGAGTCAGGCCATGGGCTGTGGTCACTGGGATGAGCCTTTGCCTGGACCTTGTGGCTCCCCTGAAAGGAGGAGACAGGCTGGAACAGGGAAAAGGGAAAAGGAACAGGCCAGGCACTGGGTCCTTTGTGTCCCCAGAGGCTAACTTGCCAATGTCTGGAGACATTTTCGTTGCCTGGATACCAGGTACAATGGGTACCTGGGGGAGGTGTGTGCTATTACTGGCTAGTGGGTAGAGGCCAGGGATGCACAGGACAGCCCCTCCCAACAAAGAATTGTCTGGCCCCAAATGTCAATAGTAGCAAAGGCAGCAAACCCTGTCGTACGGTGGGAAAGTTACTGACTCCATTTTGCAGATGAGAAAACTGAGGCTCGAAAAGGTAAAGTGACCTGAAAAAGGCCCCATTTCATCCCCCTGAGAGCCAAGTGTCCATGGGAACATGTAGTTGGAGGTATCTGGCATTTCTGGCAATGGATGGGAGGCAACGGAGGTGTAAGGGGACAGGGAGGGGGGACAGTACCCGTCAATGACAGGGCTGATGGCTAAGGTCCCGGCTGTGGTCCCGGTGGTCCTGGTGGTCCCGGTGGTCCTGGTGGTCCTGGCGGTGGACGGGGTTGGAGCTGTGAGAGACGACAGTGAGGGCCACTCCAGGGCTCAGCCTTCCAGCCCCAGCCCTGGGCAGGAGGAGCCCATGCAAGGCCTGGACCAAGCGAGGACTGAGAAGCACCGCATGCCCTGCGAAGGCATGGAGGGGGGCAGTGCCCTCAGGGAAGCGGCTGTAGAGGAGACGTCATGCTGTCACTTGTATGATGGCTGTATTCTATGGTCTCCTCTGTTTCCATTGTTTTTTAGCGTATCGTGCATGTTCAACCTGCAATACCGCCCTCCTCCCCTCCAAACCCTTTTGCCTCCCTTGGATAAATTCCTGCTCATCCAACCAGGCCCCTGTAGTGCCACCTCCTCGGGGGAGTCCTGCAGGCAAGTCCATACTCCTGGCCTCACCAGCAACCTGGCCCCCTCCCTCCTCTGGGCCTCCATCCAACAGGCCTCCATTATGGCCCCCATTCCCCGCATCATAGCCTTTTATTTATGTCTCAGGGTTCCATTCCCCTTCCAGGGCCTCGCCCCGTGCCCGACATGCAGTGGGCAATGAGCCCAGGTTTGGGCAGAGAATGACCGAGCAGCTAATGTGTGTGCGCCAGGCCCCCAGCTGACCGAACAGGGAGTGGGGCAGACTCGGCAGCCGGGCGGGGGTCTTGAAGGTACTGTTTAACCCTTGACCATCACGGGGAAATGTAGGGGGGCTGTGCACCTCTGAAGCTTTCAGGAGGCATATGGGGGAGGGGCTCAGGGTTAGGAGGAGCCTCAAGCCTCCCAAGCTGAGGCTGAAGATCACTCATGTATCAGTTGCCCTGCAGGGTGGGACCCAGGCCCTCTGAGCCCCAAATCCCACATCTGCTCACTGTGTCTGTCCCCTGCCTGTCCGCATTCCCTGAGCCCACACAGTGACCTGTGACCCGCCTCAAGCACAGCCCTTGGAGACAAGGTGGGATTAGGGTCAGGGGGAGGGGTGCCCGGAATGGACCCATAAGCGAGGCTTGTGCAAGCCTAAGGCAGCTTGGTGATCTGTAGGACT